TAAATATATTAGGAGACACGGCTTTTACGTAATCTTGTTTTTTAAAATTAAAAGAAAAAACTAACTAGAGAATTACTATGGACACATTCCATATTTTGAGTATTATTAATTTAAAGAATAATTTTGTTGAAATGAAAATTAGCCCCCATATTTTACGCTGGAGGCAACGTGAGAGAGAAGGGATAGGCTGAAATTTTTTGACATTACATTAGTGCCATATAACTTATATTACTTGTACTAAAAAAAGAAAACTTATATTACGTGATTACAATTTTCTTTCCTAAAGTTATATAATTTATTGAATAATTATGGACTATCTATAGAAGTATTCTATAAAACAAACTATTACCCCCCCACTACATCAATTTACATCATTAATTTTCCTCCCATTCCAAAAGTTTCATTGAATAACATAAAAGTTAGGAGTTAAAAAGAAAAAAAATTATAACGTTTCAATAGTATACTTAATTTTAAGTTGGATTTGAAAATTTTTACAACGGGTGACTAGATTTAAAAATATATATTTGCATTATTTATACTATTTATGGGAATGAATATTTCTTTTTAAGTTTTTTCTTCTTTTTAATTCGATTAATTTTAATTTATATATTTTCAAAATGCTAATTTTGGTATTTGATTTTTAATTTGAGTTCATTTTAGTTATGTATTTTCAAAATATTTATTTTGGTCACTCTACTTTTAAAAAATTATTATAACATAAAGTCATGGTTACATCTGAAAAAATATATTGAATGGAATATCGTGTTGAAATTATGATAGAAAAAATGAAATTAAAAATAAAATCAATAAATCAAAATAGTCATGTTTTAAAAGTAAAAATACCAAAATAAGTATTTTAAAATTACAAAAATACGTGGACTAAAATGAACATTTAAAGTACATAAATCGAAATAGTATTTTAACATTTCTTTTCCTAACTTGGTTCAAATCGTCCATATTTCCGGAATGTTAGAGCAACCATAGATTTGAGTTTAGTTTTACTTAAATGATTATATTAATAGACACAATTGTTTTACTTATATACAACATAGTTTTCTTCTTTATCTATCTCAATATATTTTTTATTTCTATTAATTCTAACATGAATCTTAAATTATAAATAAAATAGAATTTAAAAGAGGTGTAGTATAACATTGATAAAGAAAATATTTGGTTCCTTTAACATAGGGTTGTGACTTATAGTTCCTCATTTTTTTTAAATAAAAAATATTTATCCTCTTGTTTAATAGTCAAATATTCATTCTTACTGAGCAAGTTAATAAATTGGATAAATTGTTGAATTTATGGTTCTGACGTGATCTTGAGAATGAATAAACAAGTGCTAAATCCAAAAATTTAAATGAATAAATAGGGTAAATTTAATTACTGACGAATTACTCAAGGATCCCACACAGAGCTTCTAATTGTTGGTCCTCTCCTGCCACCTTCTCACACTAAGCCCCATCTTTGCCATTTTCACACCTTCCACTTCCACTTCACTTTCACATTTCCCAATCCTCCCCTCTGTCTGCCTTGTCGCCTAATGTCTATTAATATACACCATTGCCAGAGAAAATTGAAGCAGAGCCAAAGAAGATGCCGGTRCCGGTGGATGCCCAGAATGAGAGCTCCGGCGGCTTCTCCACCAGAATCTGCTTCAGGAAAGCTTCTTCTTCTTCCCCCCAAAGAAAGCCCGGAGGATGGAAGACCATGCCTTACATCTTAGGTCTCTCTCTCTCTCTCTGCTCCATTCTACCAAATTGGGTATAACAATTGTTTGTTCTAGATTTATGAACCCCTTTTGGGTTTTGTTGCATTTGGGCAGGAAATGAAACATTTGAGAGGCTGGCTTCAACGGGGTTACTGGCCAACTTCATGGTGTATCTCAGAAGAGTGTATCACCTGAACCAAGTTGCTGCCACCAGTTTAATCAACGTCTGGTCAATGGCTAATAATTTTACTCCTCTGGTTGGAGCCTTCTTATCCGATGCCCATCTGGGTCGCTTCTACACCATTGCTATTGGATCCGTAGCATCTATTCTGGTGATTCCTAGCTCTCTTTATCTCGCTACCAAATTCCCAAATCCATCCCCTAACATCGTTATATAAAGAAATACACACCCTCAATTTGAAATGATTTTTTGAAGGAATATACGCTGTACTATTCTGTACTTCTCCTTTTGCACAAAAAAGTCGAAATCCTTTAGAAGAGGGATTTAAATTGTTGTTTTTGGGCCACACCTTGTCTGGTCTGGGAAGGGAGCTGAATTGAGCTCTCCGAATTCGTAATAATTTAGGCATTTATGGCAGAGTCCTCTTCGTGGCAGTGGGTCATTCCTCTGCTTCAATTAGGAAGCACAAAATCTTTTCTTTGCCCATTGATTTAATTGCTAAATTAAGTCAATCAAAAGCGTTAATTGGTCGGGATTTTTCACTTCTTGACCATATTATGATTACCCAAAAATCTTATAGTTGTTTTACTTGAACTTTCCATTGAAAAAGTTTAAACTTTTGAGTTGAATGTGCAGGGAATGGTGGGAATGACGTTCACGGCGTGGATACCACAGCTGCATCCGCCGGAGTGCAGCAACCCACTGCAGGCTACGAGCCAATGCAAAGGTGCAACGACCTCCCAAATGGGGTTTCTGATAATGAGTCTTTCCCTCCTATCCATTGGCTCCGGCGGAATCAGACCGTGCAGTGTCCCTTTCGGCGTGGACCAATTCGACACGACGTCGGAGGAAGGAAGGAAAGGGCTGGGCAGCTTCTACAATTGGTACTACGCCACTTTTTCCATAATTCTGGTGTTCACTGCCACTGTGGTGGTGTACATTCAGGACTCTGTTAGCTGGGTGTTGGGGTATGGCATTCCCACACTGCTCATGTTCTGTGCCATAGTCCTCTTCTTTCTTGGCACTCGTGTTTATGTGTATATGAAGCCTGAGGGAAGCGTTTTTACTGGTCTTGCTCGAGTTGTTGTTGCAACTTATAAGAAACGGAAGCTTAAGTTGTCGTCTCCTGATGCCACTGACGCCAAAACCCCAACTTTCYATGACCCTCCCTTGGACTCTGGAACTGCTGTCATCCCAAAACTCCCGCTCACTACCCAATACAGGTAAACAAAATTACTCTTCCACTTCCACATCGTTTCGTCATTTGGGGTGTGATGCTTGAGTAGAAAAGAGGGGTACATAGATGAACCGGTGCCACATCTGAATGTGAGAGATTCTGAGATCATGGAAAACGTGATTAGAAAAGACTTGGAACTGTAGTTTAAGCATGCTTGGTTTGGAACTTGGAGCAATCTTGGATTGGGTGACCTCCGAATTGATTTACTAAGAAGCATGTGAGTGAGCATAAAACATACTAAAAGGTAGCTTGGATAGAAATGATGGCGTAACTAGGTAGGGAAATGCCAAGGCAATTAGAGCCGAATCTGAATTCCCAAATCCTGGTGCGAATCTTGGGTCTTGTGCGTTACATGTGTTGTAAAATATGTGTTGTAAAATGGTTGCTAATTTTAATGTGTTTGTATATATGGGCTGATCTCTTGCAGGTTTTTAAACAAGGCGGCGATTGTTCTTGAGAATGAGCTAAAACCAGATGGSACCCCAGTAAACAAGTGGAGTCTTTGCAGCATACAGCAAGTGGAGGAGTTGAAATGTTTGGTCAGAGTTATACCAATTTGGGCATCAACCATCCTTTGCCTCACAACAATCATACAGCAAGGAACATTCTCAGTATCTCAGGCCCTGCAGATGGACCGGCATCTGGGGCCAAGCTTCAAAGTCCCAGCAGCCTCAATCGGAGTCACCTCCTATCTCACATTAGCAATCTGGATTCCRCTCTACGAYCGAGTCATCGTCCCCCAGCTCCGCAAGATCACAAACCACCCGAACGGTATAACGCAGCTCCAAAGAATCGGAATCGGGTCCGTTTTCGCAGTGATTGCAATGGTGGTAGCTGGGATCGTGGAGAAAGAGAGGAGGGAAATGGCGCACCGGCATCAGCAAATGTCTGTCTTCTGGCTGGCCCCTCAGCACATTCTGATGGGGCTGTGCGAGGCGTTCAGCATCATTGGACAGATGGAGTTCTTCAACAATGAGTTTCCGGAGCAGTTGAGAACCATGGCCAATGCACTGCTCTCAATTTCCTTCACCACGGCCACATATGTGAGCACTTTGGTAGTGATAATTGTGCACAAAACAACCGGCGGGCATGGGAAGCCAGATTGGCTGACCAATGATCTGAATGCCGGCAGAGTTGATTACTACTACTACATTGTGGCAGCAATTGCCTTTGTCAATATTTTCCTCTTCATCTACTGCGCTCGACGGTATCAGTATAAAGGTGCTGGGGAGGTGCAGACTGTGAAAACATGCGATGAAGTGGAGCTCAGCTCTCACAAAAAACTTGATGTCTGAGTTTGGCAATCTGCCTAATACTTAAGTTGCAAGTGTGTGTGTTTAGATTTGTCTGAGCAGGAGTGYGGTAGTTTGGTTTGGATTTCAAAGCAACTMACTTTCTTAAACACATAAATTAAATTAGTTTGTAACCGTAAGAAAGTTAAATTATGAAAAGAGTTAAATGTTAAATTACTTTAATAAATTTCTAAATCTAAGAGGTGGGTTGGAATCACTCCACCCCCACTTGTTGTACTTACAAAAAAAGAGTCGAGTGTTTTAAGTTATTTTAAAAAATGTTCTCGACTTGTTAAATATTTTCAAATGAGTTGCCGTTCAAAAACAGGTTTCGGCCTTCTTCTTAGGGATTCAAATGGAGCAATCTCGACAGTAAATGTGTTGTTTCTGCTGATTTCTGATATCTCAATCCTTTGCATGTTAGAAATCTTGGCTCTCTTTGAAGGTATTTGGTTAGCTCGAACCATTCCATGTTCTCGGTTATTGGTTGAATCTGATTCTCTTTTGGCAACAAATCTCATCAATGGGAGTCTTCATTCAATTGGGGATGAAAGTTCTTGGATTCGTGACATTCAACAATTTCTAACAGCTTTGAGTCAKATATCTTTTCAGCACATCCCTCGATAAATTGTTAGGTTGATTTTTYGGCTAAAGAAATCCTCCAATTCTTCTTCGTGGACTCAAAACTTCCCCTTAACGAGACTAATGTCTCATCAATTGTAGTCCATGTGGCAAGGAATTCTTCTCATTAATGAAACTACTTTCTAAAATAAATTTGTTGTTCTGTCTGCCTCTAAATTTTTTTATATATACGTATTCTTTATAAAAAAAAAATTAAAATAACAAATATATCCTCTCTCTTTGCAACCGGCCTTACATTTTCCATTTTTTAATCAGATTATTTTGTTTGATTATTTATTTAAAAGAATATACAAGAGAGAATATCTGAACCCTAATTTTGAAGGATTCTAGAAAGGGTGTGGTGTGGCACAAAATCATATGCATGCATGGGAAGGGTTTATTGGTAAATTACTTACTGATTATATTTTGCATTTATGAAGCCGCAATGGCAGTGGCCCCACCAGCTAAGCTAGGACGGTAGATGATGAGACGTGTTTTGCTGTGTAATTGGAACTCTATTTTCCTCTCAAAAATAATAATAATAATAATAATAAAATTGGAACTCTATCTTTCCTTTTTGGTCTTTACCTGAATTGTTTATTAGAAGAAAAATCGAAATTGTATATTAGGTAAGTAAACAAACATGTTTTAATTTCATTTACTTTTTTAGTGTTGGGCAACTTTTAAACTAGAACTTATCGTAATCATATATTTTTGTGGGTAATTGTAGAAATTTTTTTTAAATAATAATAAATTTGGGATGACACCGTTGAGAGGCAAGTATTTTTCTGAGAATAAATCGTAAATTTTCCTACCATCCATCATCATTTATTTTTTGGTATATAATCATTGAAGAGAGAGAAGAAGCGTCCACTATTTAATTTAATGCTCCATAGTCAACATTGACTGCCACTACTTATTTGACTATATATATATATATATATATTTTTTTTTTTCCCCTAGTGCTGCTCTCCCCTTCCGATGTCGACGTCTTTTTTCTCTAAAAAAATGCTGTATTGGTAAGAGAATTGCCAACATCAATATAATCTTCAATTTATTTAAATGGCTAAATAATTTACTCTCTCTTTTTTATGTCAGAGATTTGATTATCCAACTTTCATATTCATTGAATGTCACAACTAGTGTAATGTAACATAAAATTATCAAATTCATCTCATACTCATTTCCAACCATGTCTATTTATTTTAATTATTAATTCACTTTGCTGGTTGGTTTGATATATATTTTTAAGAAATCAAGATCCAGATCCATAACCAATATTGATTACCAAATTAGAAAAAAAGTATATACATTTTTAATAAAATAATTGTAATAGGAACATGAAACTCACATCTTTAAAAAAAAAAATTATAAAGTTTGATCCATATCAATTACTTCTGCTTTGCAAAATGAGACAATCTTTCACTAACTTCATTATCAACAATATGAGTACAAGGGAGAACAAGACTCCCACTCTCAAATTTTTCTCACGCAAAAAGAAACATCTCTCACTCTTCCTATTTCTAGACTCTTCGAGAAATAGTTCTCAACCGTCTTCTCTTTTTAGGCTCTTCTTGTGCCGAGAAAAGAAGATTTTTTTTCTATCTCCCTAATTTTTAGTCTCTATTTCTCCTGATTTAGTATTGATATTTTTTAATTTCATTAAACTATATATATATATATATATATATATATATATATAGATTTTTTTTTGGTTAATGATGAGGTTTTCATGTTTCAATGCAACAAGTACACTTGCAAAATAGTGTGATAATCAAATAATTCTAACAAATGTCTAAAATTTTACAAATGGTTGTGAAGGAAAAAAGACAACGAAAAATGATTAATTAAAAACATATTTTTTGAGTGTGCTTTATTTCTCACTATATAAACATTAATTTGCAAAAGATAATTAACTTTTTAGAATACAAGAACATCACGCAGAGTAAAGATTCGAACTTACAATTTTTTGATAAAAAATAGATGTACATTTTAACCAGTTCAGTTAAATTTAAGTTGATGGATAATTAACTTTTAATAATATCACCATTTCACGATATGTAAATTATTTCAATATGTTACTAAAATGAGGATATATGAACTTCCAATTTTGAGAACTGTCTTTTTTTTTTTTTTTTTGCATATGGATTGGCATTAGATTCCCACATTGATAGGGGAGCATTTTAAAACCAAAATCCTAAATATAATCATTCATATATAATTCATAATACGAATCATTATGGTCGAGAATGATTGAAGTCCACAAGTTAGGGAGAAGAGAGCAGTGGTTCGACAAATCATCAAAAGTTTGATTCTTCCTAAATAACCCATAGCGAAATGGCATATGGCCTCCTGGCCAACTTGTCAATCTTATCTTCTACATTAAATATTTCTATAATTCTTTGTGCCCATTAGAATCAAAATGTGGGGTGAGATAACCATTTTATTCTGTAACATTTTATTATAAAAAATTACTGTAATAATCTAGTTCATATTAATCACGAATCAATCTAAAAATTTTAGTAAATTTAGTATTTTAAAATACCTTAATAATTAAGTAGTTATTATTGGTTTATTTAGTTATCATGGTAATAAAATTAGCAAATTTTGAAGGAAGAAGACATTTCTCCATGAATTTCCACACACAATAGCATATCTTATCATGTGGCAAATATTGTGATGGACTCATTCACAAACCCATCATTTTCGTTCCCATCATCTAAACACTACCAACGGTTGGATAAGGACTAAGGAGGCCTATCTATTAGTTTGTGAAAATAAAGTTAATTTTGTTTTTTTATTAAATCATATTACGTCACATTTCATCATGTCCATAAAAGTTTTCTACTTTGTTCTTTATGTTTCTTAAACTGCTACAAACAATGTCGAATTAGCTCACTTTATAATTCTACCTTATCCGTAGGAACCTTATGGGTGTTTGATAACTACTCATCACTGTTATTTGAATTCTGTTTATTCTTTTCAAATTCACTAAATTAAATGGATTTAGTGAATATATATTTATCAGATTTATTTTTTAAAACTATTTTCGAATTTTATGATCATTTTCAAAATTTGGATTTAAAACTTAAAAGGAAGAATTACATTTAAAAAATAAAATAAAAACATGGATAGATATACTATTTCAGTTATAAATTCATTTAACAATTTTTAGAAATTATAACATAGAAAATATAATATTTTATAAATTATACAATATTGTCAAATAGTAATTATATAAAATGTATAACAAAAATATTAATAAATTAAATAATATCATTTTAGATTGAACTAAATATCTAGTTGGTAACTAAAATAGTTTAAAAAAATATATTACTAAACACAATTTATAAATTCTAAATTTACTACCAAACACATATTTGAAAATACTCAAAACATAATACAACTCTATTTTTCATTCAATTTTCCTTTTGAAAACACCAGACAAATGCACATTTATCTCTTATTTAATAACAAATCTAAATTTGTCTATTGTAATTAAAATTGGGTAATTTAGATATTTTCAAAACTCATTTCCGAAGTCTTATTTCTAAATGTAGATGCTTCAAAACATAGACAGAAAAAAAAAGGACTCATACTTGTAAGCTGGATAAAGGTAGATAAACATACACAAAAAACCGCATTCCTAACATAAACACCTTAAGTTTCACCTAAGCTTTCTACAATAAATCATTTATTCACTTTGAATAATGAGAATCATCAATCAGCTTTGATGATTGCCAAACCGAGCATAGCTCAAGTGATTAAGTCACATATCTGTGACCAAAAGGTCATATGTTCGAACCCCACCTCCACATGTCATACAAAGATGATATCTTGGAGGACTATTTTTAATTCTTAATTTCATAAATGTCTTTAGTTTTCAAATTTTACACTTCTAGATTTTTTCACGTAGGATTTTATTCTAATACCGTTTCTACCATTATTTATTGTTTTTTATTTTATTATAATTTTAAAATTTAAAAGATTTGAATATTTAATTTGTTATTATATTCATTTAATTATTGTGGGCCCCGTTCGATTTTTCAACCTAAATTCCTCAAATCTCCCCTCAAAAAAGATTTTATTCTCTCAGCAATTAAGAACTTCCAAATTTGTGTGCTCTTTCTCCAACCTTGATTTTTTTTCCCAGCGTCTTCCTTTTTTTCGTGCATACCTTCATCAACGTCGACAACATTGAAGTGCATACCGTCTGTGTACTTCTTCCTCCAAAACTGAAGTTTTAAACGTCTCATGGATAAAGCGAAAAAAGTTCTTAGATTTCGAATTTGGGAGATTTTTGGACGGGATTTGGAGATATTTTGGGAGGTTATGATTTCAATTTTGGGGAATTGTTTTTAATGTTTTGGTGTTTTAATTTGTTTTGGAAACTATCACTAACCTAAAATTATGGGATCTAAATTATAACCTTCCAATTAATCAATTTTGCATATTAAAATGAATTTAAAATTAATTTGTAAATACAAGAAGCTATTTAAGTAATTTATATGATGGATACCCTCCTAAATAGGGTTGATACATGACAAATGTGTAAATTCTATACATTCCATCCTTTTATATAATTAATTAAGATCTTTAAATAGTCCAGTACCAATCCCAAAAATAAAAGACAATCTTTCTAATGAGATTTAATAGGTCGAACCCGACTATAAGCATATTAGTCCATGAAGAATTGTCACAAGGCCCACTACCTGGGCCTCGTGGAAACAAAGCCCAACTAATCTTCTCAATCATGTCCAAGTTTATCTTAAACTAGACTAATCATCTAATTTAACGTAAGCCATCAAATAATATTTTCCGTTTTTTTAATCGCCATCAAATTAAACGATAGGTACTTGGAAATAAATGATTAAATTACAAGTTTAGACTTTTCAACTTTTTCTAGTGTCTTATTCATAAGCTTTTAATTTTGTATTGAATAGGCATTAAATTTTTAAAAATATTCGATAAATTATTAAATTTCAAGTCACTACTCTATTCAACATTTTAAAAAGTTTTATAGATGTGTGAAGCACAAAATTAAAATGCCAAGGTTTATTGAATACTTATTAAAAAAAAGATTATTGAATATAAAATTTAGAATTTAGAAAAATGATAAATTGATCAGTCAAAAATTGAAAATTTAAAGATGTATTGGACATTTTTAAAGTTCATTGAGTGAAGAAACACAAACATTACAACATGTAAAACAAAAAGTGGGAATTATGTTAGTTAAAAATTTTAAAATTGGTCTAAATGCCACATTGGTAATTATGCAAACCACKTTTTGGGTCTAATTTTTGTGACAAGTATTATTAGTTTGAATTTATAGTTGAGACTTCAAACTCAATCATCTCGTGACTGTGATGTTATTGTCTTATTATTATTTTGAAATCAACCATCATTTGCCCCTTAAATGTTAAAAGTTAAAATAGGAATTGAGTATTTATTTCAAACAAAAAATAATAATAATAATTTAGTTAATGTTATCTTTTTTTTTTTTAGTACACCATGTTAGGGAGAAGATTCGAACTCWCAACCTCATGGTTGAAGGTATATATTAATTACAACTGAGTCACGCTTTGGCAATTTAGTCAATGTTATCTAACCTATATAATACATACATACATATATATATATATAAAAGATATGAATTAATTAACAATTCCTCTATTTATTTRTTTTTTTCTTTGAGAGTAACAAGTCCTCTATGTACCTCTTTAATTGAACCGCTACATTATTTTATGTCTTCATTTTATTTATTAATTAGAATCATAATTAAAATGCAGCTTACACTCAAAATTATAATTTTTCGAGACTAGTCTGTAAGTATTTTAGGAAAATAAAGTACTATGGACTGATTTGTGATAAAGCAATCTAGGTAAATAACCCTTGAACTGATTTGTAATAAAACAATTGTAAAGTACTTTTTAAGGTCAAGTGAGTATTTTTAAGAGTATAAAGTCAAATAAAAAAAAATTGCAGCAAAATATCAAAATGATTTATTAGTACTTTTTTTTTAACGAATTATTACTCATTCTTTTACTTTGATACTTATAATCAAAGTAATTTGCTAAAATTATAGTTTGTTTCTAAACCACTTGCAAGTTAACCAAATAGACTTGTTGATAACATTTCAAACTCAAAAAATATAATTAATAAAATTTTAAATGTATTAACTAAATTTGAAATTTTTTTTCTTCTCGTAACTTTATAAAAGAAGTACATCTCATAAATATAAATAAGTAACATCTTATTGAAGCAGTGGATGATAAAGCATGATGTAAATGCATATATAGATGTCAACTTAAATATAGTTTCATTATTAAGGTAATATGTGTTGATAAAAAAATTGTGGATAATTTCGACTCTATCGTCAATGGGTTACGATACTTATGTACAACCAAATGATCGTGTGTTCGAATCGCCACTCAATATGCTGCACTAAAAGAAATACATATATAAAAGTAGCGATGGGTGTTATGAAGAAGTGAAGTTAGCGCATAATAATAAAATTTATATTTTAATAACCGAAACTTAGATCAGATTGAGATTATATTTAATTAGTACTAAAAAGAATATCAGAATTAATTAATTGAGTTTGAGGGACTGRTATTTTAGAAAAGGTAGGTAAATGTACGTTTTGAAGAAAAATTCAATTTTTGACCCATAAACTTGATAAAAGCTTATCAAGTTCCATCATAAATTTTTAATTTCATAAAATTGAACTATAAACTTAGATAATGAGTATAATTTTCAGTGTGTACTCAATATYGGATAATTTACGTATKAATTATAACAAAAAAAAGAATATAGACTTAAGGAAAAAATTCACTAATTTCAGTGAAAATAAAGTTTTGTATAAAATAAAATTTGACTGATGTTTACCAAAAACTTTGGTCAAAACTTACAAATATATATATATTTTTGAATTTCTTTCTAAAAAACTMAACTCTAATGAAAATTCTCTAAAATCCTAGCAATCTTATACAGTCTATTATTTTCAGAACATTTTATGATTTATTGTAAGTACACAGATATATATATTATTTCCTTTAAGCCTTTTGCTAGGACCAATATACCACACCATTAACTTAAAGATTAAAAATTGAATTTTAAAGTAGGTTGCATATATTAAAATTTAAAAAACTTAGCTCTAATGATTTTTTCCTCAAAAATCCTAACTATTTTATACTATAATTATATTTTATGATTTATTATTTTTTTAGGAAAATGTTTCATCGTGAGTACACGAGAGTGTATATTATTTTTTTAAGATCATCCAAATAAAAATCTACCAAATATAAAAATTGCAATACTTATTCAAATTTACAACGACGGTAAAGTACTTTAAAGTTAATTATTTTTAATTATTTTCAAGTTAAAGTTAAAAACTGCATATGCAAGACTTAACTAGTTAATACCTATCTCCTACTTAAAAGTTGTGAGTTAAATCGGAAAAGGTTAAAAGATTGAATATATTGAAATTTAAAGTAAGAATTAAAATTGATACATTTTGCATTTATGATAWAGTTTTGTATTGAATTAGAAATAGAAAGAAAGAGAGGTGATTAACGCGGCGGTGGGGAGGCGGGTTAGCCCACTAGAGATGGATCGAAGAGAAGCGAGCCCATCCATATTCC